CATTTGCATCACATGGTTGCAGTAATGTAGGGTTCTTCTTGCTGATCATCACCTCAAAGCTGCAGTGAGCCTTTAATTGGCTTAGGAGTGATTGATGCTTTCTTCTTACAGTCCAGGTACTCTTAGTAAATGTACTTGGATGGAAATCAAGCATAATTGCTTGAGGGATGAACCCAGCCTGCAGGCTACCAAAATGTCATCAGTGCACTGAAAGGGTATAAAGGTCAAAACAGAAGCTACATGTTGGATGATAGGATAGACCTATTTTGCAAGGGAGAATCACAGGTGTCCTTCAGGCAGAGTGAAAGTGGCAAGGAGTAGAGAAGGAAGTACTTTTACATATTTTGTGTCAACAATTAGATGAAACTTTACAAGGCACTTTAACTGTATCTTGGGGCTATATTGCTTTTATACAGCTTAATAAATGAAGAGTTATATTTAGTGTTACAGTAAACATGCAGTGTGCAACTGACCTTATGTTTTGTTGCTGCTTTGTTTACATTAAAATAAGTGTGCTGGAGTTGATTTTTGATGCAGGCTACAGTTGGAGATCAGGAAAGTTGAAATCTTTTCCTCAGAATTTTGCTTTGCAAAATTGTTTCTCCCTAGTTCAGGGAAACTAATCTCCCTTGGTGCCAATATAGGTGGAAATGATAGTTTTCATGATTGAAGTGAGTGGCTGGACAAAACTTATTTTCTTTTAAATATAGTCTTATTATGGGATATTGCTATATAAATGTGACACATAAGTTTGTCCCACAGAAAATTTTTTATATAGATGAAAACAGTTGCAAAATAGCATTGGTGGCCTAGGGAAGGGAAGAGAACAACTGTTTTTTTCTTTTTTGTAGGTAAATCTGAATTAATTTAAATATTTGTCTTTTATTACCATAATATATACATGAGAAAAAATAATAAGAACCAGAATATAAAACAATATATGTAATAATAAGTATTATTAAACCATAAAGAAATTGCAATAAAATCAATAAAAAGACAAAGCCCTTCACTGCTCTTCTAAACAGCAACAGAGTGGACCATCACAATCTTGAGGGGCAGAGCTCATTCCAGATGGCAGGTGCACTTCCTGGGTCCTGTGAAATGACATTATTTTATTGAAGATACACTGATCCTGCAGGACTGAATCACCCATGCAGATGTTATGGAGAAGAGGCAGTCCTCAGGTAACCAGGCTCTGTGCTATAATGGGCTTTGTAGGTTGCAACCAGTACCTTAAATCACACCCAGAAGAAAGGGGCAATCAATGCCATTCATGAAGCAGTAGTGTTAAATGAGAAAATTGAGGAAAAATCAAAATGAATCGATATACATACATGAAAAACCTAATGTTATATATATTACAATAAATACATACTGTAATTGCAACTCAATTTTTGAGTTCATGAGGTTTGTTTTTTTTTTAAAGAGGAAGCTGGATAAATAGTTAGTAGGCACTGTTTATGGAATACCTTTCTGGTTCCAAAAGATGGGTGCTACCATTTCTTGAATCCTGAATCATCAATTCTCAACAATATTTTATTGTTCCATTTAAGGCATCTCTTCCCCGGGGGGCGGGGGGGGCGGGGCGAGTGAGAATACCACTGGAAGTTTAAAATGAAATACTGTAGGCAGAGTGATTCATAAAATAGCATACTAAGCAATTGTCAAGAAACACCTATCCGGTTTCTTACTCACCAGTCTTCACAAAGTACACAGAGGGGCAGTTTAAATAAATAAATAAATCCCCCCTTTTTTGTTGCAATATTTAGATAATTCTGTAACTAAGAATGGCTATTAGATGGATTGAGACCCACACTAGAAAACTAATATTTTCCTCTGGAATAAATAAACAGATTTTGTTATAATTCAGCTAGATGAGTTGATCAACAATTGCTGGTGTGAGGTGCTAAGTGTTTTTTATAGTACAGATGGTTCGGACATTTGTTTCTTCTTTCTGCCCATCCCATAAATCAGCATAAAGCCTTTTGTGTGATATCTGGTGGCGTTGAAGTTGAGTGGTCTTTGATTGTGCTGGCTAGGAAATTTTGGGAACTAAAGCCCATAGATCTTTAAATTGCTAGAGTTAAGAAATACTAGATTGTATAATTGACAATTTTGGCCTGAGGATTGCTGGCTCTTGGCTCACATCTTACAGCACATGAGAGCAGTTTCTCCATAGTTGCTCCCTATAACTTCTGATTATTAAAAAGAAGGAAAATAATAGCAATATAGAAATAACAGTCATATGAAAAGTGCAATTTTAGAGATTGCTAATATTTGTTTCACTCTATGTCCTGCTTCTAACACTAAAGTCCTCACTCAGTTATCTGCATTTTTTAAAATCAAAGTTTTTTACTCCATGTACATCCTGACAAGTATAAAATAAATTGGTTGATTCCTGTCTTGTACATTGAAATACCTTCTCTCTGCAGCATACAATATCAATCAGATATTGATTGGCTTAGATATATAATATACACAAAAATTAATCTAGATCTCATTTTAGACCTTTAGACTTGCAATAGTGAGATAATTATTTGGAATCATTGCATTGGTCTTAAAATTTGGGGGGAACCGGGTAAGAGTGTCATTGGGGGATCACCCAGGGCAGCTTATCACCTCTAAGAAACCTGATTCTAATACGTCTCAACCAATGTTCCGTAAAATTACCGTTATCATAAAACGAAAGCAAATAACAAAAAGTCAAATTGTATTGTTTATTTATTTATTTAGCATATAGCATACATTGTCAAGGAAATCTACAAATGCTAGGCACAATGCAGTCCTAACAGCCTAGATCAGTGATGGCGAACCTTTTAGAGACCAAGTGCCCAAACTGCAACCCAAAACCCACTTATGCCTTGTTGGGTGGCGGGTGGGTGTGGCCCATTGGCTGGGCATGGCTGCGGTGGTAACAGCAGATTGGGTGGGACTAAAAAGTTCAATCAACCAATTCCAACTCTGCGAGATCTTTTTTTTCCCCCGTGAGAAATTGAAATTGATTGATTGAACCTTTTTTTTTTTGCATACGGCGGCAGAGGCCTAAAGCGAAAAGGTTTTATAAAACCCAGATGAGGGCCTAGGACTGGGATGACGGCGCGCATGCCCACAGAGAGGGCTCTGCATGCCGCCTCTGGCACCCGTGCCATAGATTTGCCACCACTGGCCTAGATTTCTAGTTAATTCTGTTTGGTGCTTACGTGCCTATCCTTGGTGCACCACGGGCTGAACTAGCTTACACTAGCTGACTAGTGGCACTTGGGTTGCTGGTTCTTCTGGGCTTCCCTGCCAGTCTCACCTTGCCACACCTCATATTGCATTGTCTCGTGTCAGCCAGGTCCAGCACTGGTTTCTGCTCTCCGCATACCGCAAATGGTACCCATTTATCTACTTGCAATATTGCATGCTTTTGCAGGAGCCGGGGAACAGGCAGCAGGAGTTCACCCTTTCTCGCTGGGCTCAAACCGCCAGAGTGCAGATCATTTTTGGCCAGCATTTCTGGCATCATTAAGTCACTGCGCCACCACATCCCCATTGCTATTTGTATTTTTTCATGATTGAAACTTCATTTTGTCTTCATATATTTTAATTTGGAATCAATAAATTGATAAGATAACATAGCTGTAATTTACTAAAATGATAGAGGGCTTACCTACTGAAAATAGATTATGTCAAATTCAGTCATAGAAATATATTGGCACAGATGGCTGCCTTTTGTATATGGAAAGGCTCCAGTAAACTCTTCACCATAAATCTCCTTTTATATTTATTAAAATTGTACAAAATTGATCAGATGCTGAAATGTGGGATCCTGGACAATTGCCCAATTTGCCCTTCTTAAAGCTACCATTGATGTTTAAGAAAAAACAAAACTACTTTAGCTCAATTTATAGTGATGAAATGAAAAAGACAGGGCATTAAATGTGGATTTTTGCGTGTAAAATGGGATCCATTCAATTCTTGTTCTTTAAAGAGATTCTCGGTGTCAAAATTTACTAGTTCTAAGGGTATATATTTTCTGTCTTTCTGGTTGGTAGCCATGGAGTGCAATTTAAAAAAAGGTAAATCCCAAAAACTTCAGTCCAGCTCCTGATCTAGACGGATTGATAGTCTTCAACAATCTTGTAATTCTTAGCTTCCTATATAAGGATTCCACAAGAAAAGTAATATAATGATGTTGAGCTATATGAAGGCAATTTTAATAATCTTGAGAATTTGTCCCAGGCTTTGCATCATTTGATATAGCTTCTTTCTTACTAGCAGCTCACTATATTTAACAGAAGTAATTTATTGGCTGAATGATACTTCTAGCATAATGTAAATTCCTCACTTCTGCTGATAATGGCATACTGAAAATGGGGATGATGTGGAACAATCTTTCAAATGTGTGGCAGTGGAAAAACCCATAGTAAAAATATTCTGTCTTATGTGTAAATAATATACCTGAAGTATAAGATTTTCTTTTGGCACCCAAAAAATTCAACTAAATTACCAGGCAAAAACATGAAGTTAAATGTTTCTGCCATTTCACCAATCACTCCTTCAATTTGCTGCCATTCTGTTTTATCTTTTCTACCACACAATTTCTTTGATGCTTCACAGGTCACTATCTCTATGAAAACTTCTTACCTATTCCCAATGTCTCAAGATTCAACTGATTCTGCATTCATATGTTACTGATGTGTGTTTCCTGTGAGTCCAGTGAAAATGGTGCTGAAGTAAGGAGACATTTGGTCCTATCCAACAGAATTCTCCTTATATTTGAAATGGCTGATCTTTTTGAATTTAAGTTGCTGCTTTTCTTCCCTGTAGTTAAATTTGATTCCTGGAGGCAGGTTTTTTTTTTGCCTTCTTTCTCTCCTGCTGTTTTAGGTAATTTATAGGGTGGAGTAAAGTAGGAAACTATGATACACCGTTGTCAGGACTTGTTTAAGACAAACGTTTTGGGAAACAGAGCCTACCCATTGGAAGGGTGGGGAAAATAGGTTAAATACAAGACCAATCCAGCATTCTTTGAGAATCATTCAGGAACAACTTACCACTGAAGCAGTGCTGTTACACTTGTGGTCTTGTGGAACATCTGGAATACTGGATACAAAGCAAACAGTAACAATTACCACCAGAACCCAGGTATGCAATACAAGCAAAGAATCAGTCAGAAAAGATCCACTTTCTATTGTCCTCTGATTCTTTGGAATAAGATTTCACCAACTAATAGGGACTGATATTGAAAACCAAAATGTTTAGCAGCTATTAATGCAGAGGAAAGAGTATATGCTGGGCTGGTTCGCTTTTTGCAGGGCAAAAAACATATCATGTTTTAGCTACAGTTAGAGGTGTCTCATTAAAATGCAGGGGGAGGGGAAAGACTGTGAGATGCATTTCAAGGAAAGAAGGATGGCAACACTTCATATTTATATTTATCAGTTTCTGATGTGTATTTATCAAAAATCCTTTGTAGCAAAGAGATTATGTATTACTTTTCCCAAAGAGTGTAAACAAGGTTCATTATTTTCACTACCCGGGAGCAATGTATTCTTTCTTTTTGTGTCTAGCAAGCCAATCTTGAAGTAGTGAACTTTTACCATAATTAAAATGAGGATTGTCTTTAAAAGATATAAGCAAAGTATTGTTTGTAGCATCCTTGTCCTCAAGACTTGTGATCTTCATCATGCACCTTCATCTACTAGATCTTTTTTCATCAAAAAGTACGAAAATAATATAAGTTATATATGTTCTGATAAATACAAAAAGGTTTTGCTGAATAAGGGTAAAATTTTGTGAAGGCTTAAAAAAAACACAAAACAAAAACAAAGAAAACAAAAAAATGGATTTAAAGTGGTAATAGCAGATGTCTTGAGACTACAGAATCCATGAGAGATCATGTGCTTTTGGCTTTTGGCTTCGAATTCAGGAAACTAGTTTCCCATCCCATCTAGAGGATGCCAGGTGAAGAGTGGCTGATTTAACAGATATGTTGAGCAGAGGATATTCTGTGAATTTTAAATTAATGCATTAGTTATGACCAAAGAGGAAATAAGAAGAGACCATTATCCATTATGGGACTGACGAAGCAAAGAATTGTTTCTTTCCCTACACCTTATTTGTCTGGGTGATTGTTCTCTAGATGAGACTAAGCAACAGATACTGTCTGAGAGCCACAGATGCAGCTCAGTAAAAGGGAAAAATTACAGTGCTAATTTAAAATTTCAGCAGGGCTTACTGAAGTATAAGAATTGGAGGGTGAAAGAGCATTTAGGGTTAAGTGTAAAATAAAAGGACATTAAGCCTTGGGTGAAAGGAATACAAATCCCAGTCTTTAAAGGTGAGAGTTAGGAAAGAATTTTAGCAATATTGCCTTGTTGCTGGAAAAAGTGGGTTGTTAGAAATCACATGGTAAAATGGAAATTTGTAAGATTGTTAAGTGTTGTCACTTATATTATTAGGCACAAATAAGTAGATTAGTTGTATCTGTTAGGTTTAACACATTAGAAGTATATATTTTGTATATTAAACCAACATTGTGTACATATCAACAGAATGCATCCAGCCTCCTGGTCTGTTGTTTATACTATAACTTAGTTGGAACTTTCACAAAATGTTAATTTCCTATTTAGATATACATGGAAGACAGCTAATTTAATATTATTATTCCTGATTTATTTAAGTAGATGGTCATATTTAAAGGATGGGACATAAACCTTGTTATATTTGAAAGACTGGGCCCTGCCTAATAGACTTGAGGTTGTTTTGCAACAAATATCTTCTCAAGATAAGTAATAATTAATGTCTTAAAAGCTAGGGTTTATTCTATCTAGATAGCTATACTCAAAACCCAGTTTCTAAGGATTGTAATATCTTCTGCTCCCCAGAAGAAGCAAGACTCCCCAAATCTTTTCAAATTCATACTCCTTTTAACTAAATGCATTAAAAGCGGAAAGTGCTTAGTTATGAAGAAATATTTGATCAATGATATCAGCAATGCTGAAGAGTCACTTAGGTGATATGCCATACTTTAACTTATAGTAAAAAAAAACTAATAGTCAAGTAACAACTTGTTTAATTCCTCCTCCTCCGTCTCCTCTTCCACTCTATACCATGCCCAGAGTCTCTTTCATGTCAGGTGGGCAGCTATGCAAATATGATATATAAATAAATAATACCTTTACACCAAGGAATAATAAGGGAGTTAACTGGCAGCCAAAATACAGTTTATTGTACATTCTTTAGAAGAGACTATTGTTTTTCCCATGGCCAAAAGCAATAATTAGTAGATATATATACTTACCTTTTTTAGAGCAGAGAGCATCATTTTCAGACAAATTGGTGAATAAGTTTATCTTTATTTTATTGTTAAGATCTAATTCTAACATATTCCAATCCCACTTTTCCAGAAGAGTCACGAAATTATAGGTTTATGATCCTTATTATCCACATTTATCTTGTGAGGCTCCTTAGATGAGTACTGTATATATGAATAGCCTAGAGTATGAATGTTTAATGGGTTAAGCAGAATTTGCACTGTAATATTGCCAAGAAAAGGTTCTTGGCCTTTTGACTAAGATCAAGGATAGTATGTGTATATATCAAAAAATGTTATTGCTTCCTCCTTAACTTGCTGCTCTCTGAAACTGGAAGCTGGAAATTATACATGTTGTTATATAAATATTGTTAGAGACCAAGTTGAGGCAAGCTGCTCTAACCACTGTTCAATAGAGTCCTGAAAACCAATTGAAGCAAAGAAATGCTTATGAAGAAGAGGCTTAAAAAGACAATCGACAATAGGGTGGTAGGGATGTAGTTCAGAGCTCACAATATCCCCCCTCCAGGGTTTTAACATTTCATGTGCATCTTTCAAGCATCTTCCTTCACTGTCAGTGCTTGTCTGGGGTGAACTCATAGTATGAGTTTGAATATGACTCAAAGATTGAAGAAGGTGTGGGCTTGCTTTAGGTGCTTCAGGCATCTTTTATTTGGAGGAACAAAAGCCAAGCTATTAGCTAGCTTGAACTGTGAATGGATTTAGATGATTTGGAGGGATTTGTCTTAAGAGCCTCTTGAGATATAAAAAAAGTAACTAAAACCCTACAAAGACGTAGAATTCATCTTAAGGTAAGTACATAAAAGCCGCATAGAACTCCTGAAGTGATGATTAACTGTGTCTCACTCGCCAGTTTGCTCTCTTTTTCTGAGCTTAAAAAGTAATTTGTTAAATATGTGTCTGTTTTCGTAATAGGCAAATTATTCATGATCAGTCTTAGAGATTGTTAGACATTTGTGGTTTTGATCAACTTATACCAATGCAAACTCATGATTATCCAATCTATCATGTATTATACAAAAATTAATTCAAACTTTTCATGTTATGAATTTATTATGCTGTGAATAAAGAAAAAAGTTGGCTAAATATTCATAAATTATCACTAGATGGCCCTGTTGTAGCATTTGCCAACTTAACAACTTCTGGTTGTATGGACTTTAACTTCCAGAATTCCTCAGTAGTTTGGCCACTGCTGAGAATTGTGAGTTGAAATCCACACACCTAAACATTGCCAAGCTTGGGAACACACTGGACTGTAACACAAGTTCTGTAACACAATCTTTTTCATCTTTTACAGATTATGGTTCATTTGAACTTAGGCAGTTTTGCTAACTCTCCAAAAATCCTAGCCTTGGAACTTCCCTGGAATAATTACCAGTTTAGAGTTTTGAAAATTGAAGTTTTCTGGGCAGGTTATCTTAAGAAAGCTATTGAAAAGTGTTTTAATAGAAAGGAACCACAACTTCTCTGAACATTTATAGTGAATATTTCATAGGAAATAAGCTTATATTAATTCCCTCCCCCCCAAAAAACCATTACAAAGTCGCATCTTATTTCATGATACATCATGTGTTCTGATTTTAAAAGTCCCTATGAAGTGGTTAGTAATTATGGAAACATGTGAATTGCATTTCCTTCACTTACCACAAAGAGGCTGTGTTTGTACTTGCAAATAGACTGTTGGATGTGTGTTAATTTTTACTTTCTTTCTTCACATGTAAATAGCAATGATATGGATTCCATAACAAAGAAGAACAAGCGGGATGGAGCTGAAGTTACAGAGAGACGTAAGTATTTTTAGAAATATCAGGACCCTTACATTATCTCTCACTTTCACTCTTGAGTAAAAGCATACTCACTTTTTTCCATCAGTATGCATATATTAATATTAATATGCATATGGTGTAATTAATTATGCCAAGCTTTCTGCTTGAGAATTCTGAGAGTTGTAGCCCAAACATATCTCTGAAAAGAGGCTGTTCAAAATATTATAATAGAGATAGTTAGTACGGAGCGTATAGCCATCACCATATCCTCAAATACCTTTTAGGTTCCAGGACCTATTTTCTTTTTTTTCTTTTTTTTAAGATTGTTCTAAAGTTCTTCAAAACAAAGTGCTAATATTTAGCATCAGCATTTTTCTCACCTCTGCATTCAATAGGTATTCTTAGAAAATTTAAAAGTTGGATGTCAGTAACCTTGTACTATTGCCCTTTCCTGCCCCCTTCTGCAAGTTAAAGGAACTACCGAGAGTGGAGTAGGTAATTGAAAGAAATCTCACCATTTTGCCTGTTTAATAAATCGGTGTTTGGTACTTTAAACATTTGTTATTTTGTTATGTTTTCTTAAGAATAGAGAAGAGTTTTCAGTTTTTTTTAAATTACCAAAATGTTATTTGTGGATCAATCAGAAATGTTCAAAATCATTTTGAAAGCAGCACATTTATTCTCCTAATTTCAGTCTGACAATTTTGAAAAAGAGGCTTTGTTCAGTGATAATACTAGTTATCTCAGCAGAATTGGTACACTAGGTTCCTGGTATCTTATGCCCCTTAGGTTTTTATTTTATTTTCTTCTTGTCTTTTTTAATTTCTTTTCAGTTATTACGGAAACAGTTACCACCAGATTGACATCTCTCCCTCCAAGTAAGTAATTGCAGTAAAGTTTCTAAACTGGCATGGCTGGTTTGATTCAGTGGTATGTAAGTAAAATAAATAAATGAAAAAAATAAATTCCTAATGGTAACAATGACTTTGAACATGGATGCTATTTCGATTGTTTGTGGAAATATGTGTTTTTTCCTAAACTGAATAATTGTTAGTATTACTCAGTAATATAATATTTGATTGTACAAACTGTTCATAGTACAGTTTTCCTTTTTTTGCCCAAATTTCAACTCTCTCATATGAATGTAATTTTCAATGTTTTTATTATGAACTCTAATAGGAAGGTGATTGATTGAAAGACAGTTACTTAACTAAGAATAGTTCATTTAAGTTGGATACATTTAAAACCGCAACATATTTTAATTGCAAAACTCCATTGAAAATATACTTAATCGGGAAAGGGTAAACTCCTACAGTCAGTGTAAGACTTAACAAACTAGTTGTAATTGTAGTATCATAATGAAAATATGCAATTGTTTTAGGTATTTTCTGAAAATGGTCAAATATTGAGAGCCTAAATTATTACATGTTTTGGTGCATCTGTTTCAGTGCTGAATCTCCTGCCTTTTCTGATTCACAAAGTTTTGTGTTTTCTCTGATAGAAGGAGCTGGTAGCAGTGGGCTGAAATCAGCAGCTTACAGTGGAGGGAGCAGCATGGAACGGAGGACATATGGACATGGCAGCAATTATATGACAGCCAGTAAGTGGTTTTCAAATAAGAAGAATTTAAGTGAAAGTCATACATGGAAATGAAAAGGCCAGAGAATGGATGTGTTAGCAGAAATGCTAACTGCTGGAAAATGACAGAAGTGGGAAAAACGAGACACTCTTTTGATTCTTTACTAAAGAATGATTATCACAAAAGTATAAAGATACAACTTATAGATATTGGGTGGCATTTATTAATTGGGATGATGATGTTTATTTTCACAGGAAATGCTACCATTCATTAGTAGGAGATCGACCTACAGTAAGCCAACTATGCCAAATGTTCATTGAAATAAACCGGTTTAATCTCCTTCTAGACCTGTAGCAAAGTGGAGGGCTGCATGTGCTTTTAGGGAGAGAGCATCCACAGGGTGGTAGTATTAGAGAGAAGGCCTACTGACCATCCCACCTACATATAATCCCATATGCAATGAGGCAATTTTGAATGGGCCCTCTCTGTTACTAGACTGAGTAAGCAGATTTAGTTCTGGCAAGGCATTACCTGATGTATCCCAGAGCAATGCCATTTAGAGCTTTAAAAGTAATGACATTTGGCCAGGGAATCTACTGGCAATTAAGGCAGTGTATTTCATTCATTCTATCCTGGCAGGGTTACTGTTGTATTTTACACCAGCTGCAGCTTCCTATTATCTATCCATTATTCTTATCTTGATAGATCTCAGTCATTCTTTGGTAGTGAGATCTGACAAAAAACAGGATTCAAGGATTTCGACAAGCCACATATTAAATAAATTATTTCAGTTATGCCTTGTGTTTAATTATGTCTTTAATCCTTATGCTGAAATAGTGTATGCCCATTATTCATTAAATCTGCATGATTACAATGGTGGGATTCAAATATGCGAACAACTGGTTCTCTGTGTGGACGCCACTTCCAGAAGTCCATTCTGGGCCTGGACAACAAAAAATTAGCTACTGGTTCTGCCGAAGTGGTGTGAACTGGCTGAATCCCACCACTGCATGATTAGCTGATAAATATCAAAGTGTCTGTTAGAAAGTGCAAACAAAATTGAAGTTTCCACCAATAAGAATCCACAATAATTATTCACGTATATAAAACATTGGGAAAGTTGGAACAATGGTTAAAAATGTGTTAATGGAATTATTTTCCAGTTTCTTCTTTATGCTTCAAAGTAGCCACTGTTCCCGTCTTTTTAAAAATAGCATTTTAAAACTTAGAATGTGTCAAAAACTAACAAAATTATTGACCTAAAATGCTTCTGAAATGCCTTAATAACTTTAGATCAGTCTTTCTTAAGCTTTTTACTCTGAAAACGCCTTCACCCTTTTGACAATTATGGAGGACAACAAAGGAGCTTTTATTTGTAGAGGTTATATTTATCAATATTTGCCATATTCAAAATTAAAATTGGCACATTCATAAAATATTTATTTACTGTATTGTGAAAAAAATAAAGCCATTAGATATTAACATAAATAAAATACAGTAGTTTTCATAAAAACATATATTTTTAACAAATACATAATGATAAGAGTGATATTATTTAAAATTTTTGCAAATATCTTTAATGTCTGGCAAATAATTTTCATTTTACAAACGCTTAAGAGGATCTTGGGGACACTCCAGGGCCTTGGACTATACTTTTAGAAACAACGTTTTAAATGAACCCATAGAGACTTCTGATAGCATTAAAAAATATAAAGTTATAGAATGTTCCTAGGTTGGGGGTAATATATTTGTGTGGTTCTACTGTGTTTTGTACCATGTTTCAGTGATATGTTTGTTTTTAGCCCTGGCTGCTGTGTTTGCTTCATGTGTTTTTTAACTGTTACTTGATTTTGATAAAATTAATAAATAAACAAATTTGGAATAAGATGACTGATCATCAGAATGACCTCAGGAAAAACTGATATTAGGACATTGTTCAGAATAAGCAGATGCTACTTGGTCCTTTTGAGGAATATGTTAACAGTTCTATTCACTGTAAAAGTATGTGTGTTAATATATATATAATATCTGATATATAAATGTTATATACTGTATTGTTATATAGATAGCAAATAATACCCAGTATCTGTTACCTCAGACATACATTCCAATGAAGCATAAACCTTTATTACTCTGTACATCAGATGGCTCACATATAAATTTAGTTTTCCCTGAAGGAATTCACTGGGATTAAAGGGGTTTAAGAAAAATTCACATTTTTTGGTTGTCAAAAATTACTTAAAAATAAACTATACATGTCGTTAAACATTTTTATCAGTGCATTTTGCTTATATTCTGTTTGCTATATTTAATACAGAAGGGAACTAACATTTAGTGTCTGCTGAACAACTTTTAAGTCATCTGTGTTTCACAGATTAGTCACTCTCCAGAGGTATTTTGTTTGTAGGGTAATCTTTCTAGAATTAGAGAGAGCAAATTCATGTCATTGCGGCTATCTAGAGAAGACAAACAACAGGCCAGTTAATTGAAAAGACATCATCTCCCACACAATTCAGTCCACCAAATGTGAATCTGAGGAGGTTTTGTTTCATCTCTAGGTGGGAATGCTAGAATGAATACCTCCTCTTCTTCCTACAAGCAAGCCACCTCTCCTTCTTCCACTCTTACCAAATCACCTGGCTCCACTTTTGAACGAAAAACCTATGCTACCCACCATCCAGCATATGAAGGTATAAAAAGAAGCAGGGTTAAATGATTTTTCAAGAATTTCAAAGAAACAGGATTAGGACAATTTTAACTGATTATCCCAATTTTCCTTAAGAATCAGATACTGTATGGCTTGCTCTTTTCAGTGAATTTTGGATCGATCTGTTGTTCAGTAGAACAGTTCCATTCATGATCTTTGCAGGCACTTTCCTTAAGATACAGTTTTATAGCATAATATTCCAGGGATGATATTAATTCATCTCCGTTTCATTGAAGCAGTACACTCACTTATTTTGCAGACTAATTAATAACTCTTCTGCATGTGTTCTTCAAGCATTGTTTAAGTTTCTAAGTAAAGCTCTGGATGCTTTATTACATATTGTAATATGATGGAAATTCAGTATGTGGACTAAACTACATAATAATGTTTTCAAATTTCTTTTAATTTATTTTTTTCTTTTTCAGGAAGCTCCAGTGCAAATTCCTCGCCAGAGTTTCCACGCAAAGATTTTGGTACATTTTCCATTTTTGAGAATGACCTTAGTATCTGAAATGAATTAAGAAAGTGATGCAGATTTGCCTACATTTCTTCTAATGATAGAACTGTATTCTCTTTGTAATAATTGCTTCCAATAGTATCCTATTGAACTATACTTTTAAATTCCATCAGGCAGCAAATGAATGAGTATGTACAGCTTTTTATGGTTTTTATTTAGAAAAGATAATTGATGAAATTCACTACATTTATGGCAAGTTGTTTTCTTGCCTAAAGTTGGAGGAACCTGACCATCAATTCATTGTACCATATATATTCAGCCATAAAGGCAAATATAAAAGCTATTAATAACAAATGAAGAAAAAGTCCAAAAGTGTCAAGAATCCTATATTTCTTTGTAACTCAATAAAATAATGCCTAGAAATAGTTCTATTTTAAACTAAATATGGATATGTTAGCTGGCTATTGTTTTTTTTAAGGCAAGATGCTGAAGACCTTCATAGAGAATCTAAATAGACTTCTATATATTGGTTATTTTGCATATGTATTTAAATATAAACTGAGCAATGTTGCTGTTAGTTTTTAGAGAGCTACTCTAAAATTAAATTTCAAAGAGTGATTTCCCCCCCCCCCCAGGTTCTTCTGCTACCAGGGGACGAAGCCAAACACGAGGTGAGATCTCCTATATATATAATGATACTGGGTCACAAACTCTTTGCCTTGTCCCAAACTATCCTTAAATATTTATTCCATTTGAAAAAGATAAATTGATATTTGGAATTGCAAGTTGCTGTTCAAGAAAATTCAAAGAAACTCTATTGGGATTTTTCACAGAGAAATTCTGTAGAATTTATGCTGGAAATATGAACACTACAAAGAGACATTTTATCATGTATGGTGGATGTGTAAAAAAGCTAAAAAATGTTTGGATACACATACATACACTAATTCAGAATATTTTAAAAAGTAATGTACAATTGAAACCAGAGGCTTTTCTTTTGGGATTACAGATAGCTAGAAAAAAGTTATGGAACTTGTTTTTATATGTGGCAACTGTAGTACGATTATCATATTCTCAAAAGCAGAAAAGTTCAACATTACCCACAACATAGTAAAGATGATAGAATTTTCAAAGATAATTGACTAATTCTTGATTAAAGAAAAGACAATATGTACATTTATGGCAGACCAGGAGTCTCTTATAAACTTTTTATATGAAACAGAAAAATATACTTATGACTTATAGTTTTGATTATTAGAAAAAAAAATAGATTATAGAAAAAGTAAGGTTTAAAATAAGAGATATTTTTGTAATTGTATTTGCTGCTAAGGAAATCATAAAGCTTTTCTTTCTATTTTCTTTTTATCTTTTGACTCTGTATTAGATTTTGTTTTTTATGTTTTTCAAAAATTTTAATAACACATATTACAAAAAGAAAATTGAAAGACACTGAAATGGCCAACCTGGCACCCATAGGAAATTTATCTGTGAATGTTCAGTTTTTCATCTCTAGTTTGACTGTATTGTGTTTATTATCCCAGCATTGCTTTTTGCTTTTGAATACTTTGCCTAAATATACTTCACTTATTACTGTATTTTTCCGTGTATAAGACACTATTTTTTCCTGCAAACACCCTGTTCAAAAACCAGGTGCGTCTTAAACAAGTGCAGTGTTTTATGCACGAAAAAATAATGGTAACCTCCGCAGCCCAGGGCATGTCTGTGTGGGTTCTTTACATGCCGCTGTCATGCTGCCTGGTGCAGGTGTCAAGCCCCTGTGGGCTTGCCACTAACGGGAGGGGGGAGGGGGATGGCGGTGTCAGGAGGCAGCGGATGGGACCAGCAGCATGGATGGCAGCGACAGCCCTTTTCCTCCCTCGTACCTGTATGCTAGCCGGGGACCCTGTGGAACGCAGCTGCGAGGCCATCCTGCTTGATAATAGCGGCCAGACGAACTTCCGGATTTGCCGGCTTAGCTGTTTGGCGCTCCACTGAACAGCTGATTGGCGCAGAGAAACAGCAGGGAGTTTAAAACCTGCCTTCCCTTCCCTTCCCTTGCTGTCACGCGGGTTTGTTTACCAGGGACGGAAGGCTGCTGCTGTGAACTGACTATTCATGCTCATCGTGTCGGATGCTGGTTGGGGGGGTGGGGGGTGGGGCTGGCCGGGAAGCATCTATTTAGAGCGCTGGGAGGTGGTTGCTCCCAGCGCTGACTTTGTTTGCTGTAAGCTTGGAACTCGCAAACTTATACAAGGGTGCGTCTTATACACGGAAAAATACGGTATGCTTTAAGTTCAATGACCTTTAAATAATTATACAACATTGCCACATATTTATGTGGTCCCACACTTCAGTAGTATCATCAGACTCTTGGTCCCTGTCTAAAACTGAAAGTAATTCTAAACACAATTTTCTAGCAACCCTTTTGGAAGATATAAGGAAAAATCACTGTAGATACAGGAATTTCAGCAACTGAACTGCTTCCCAACATCTAATCAGTGTATCCCACAATATACATAAAGGTAGAGTGCTCTTTGCTTTGCTTTCTTTGTTACTTCCTTTCTCTGAACTGGCAGATCTGATCACTGATAAAAGAACTGGAAGACGGATGTTGACTTTTGAATCTTTATAGTATGGGAACCAGCAATTACAAGTAATAGACAAGTAGCAAGAGGAAATTAAAAAGGAAGAAATCAGATACAACTAAATATAATGAATTAGATCATGTTCATCTATAGCTTTGTGGAATATCTTAAAATTCAACTGCAGCTTTAGGATATCAAATATCAAATACATCTCCTACTTTAAAATGAGCCTTTTGTTTCCTTTTGTCTTGCACAGAGAGTGAAATCCGAGTACGGTTGCAGAGTGCTTCTCCATCAACCAGGTGTAAGTGCTATAGCTGTTGTCTATATTCCTAATTTGAACAAAGGTAGAATTTTGGTAAACAATTCACAATTGTCATCAGTAATCTTTTTCTTCAACTGAAATTCCCTGCCCAGTATGTCATATAATACTTTTAATCATCAGAGTAACCAGTTGCCCAGAAATGGGAAATTGAAATAGGTAGCAAGAATAATTATTATGGCTACTGAATTATAGATGGCATGATCATGATAAGAAAGAAATACTAGTATTGAAAAAGGCAGTTAACACAGAATCAAGTTCTTTCTCACTTAATGTTCAAATTCAGACATCCATCAAAGCCTCTATCATTGGTTTCAGATCCATCTATTGACCAAAATATAAAACCTTGCACTTAGTGTTAAGATTAGTTGATTTGAGTAAGCAATTCATTGTACTTTCAGATGCAGTTTATATCTGAATACAATCAATGTGGTTAAGTTCCCAGTATCTTTTTTCTCCTTCAGGGACAGAATTGGATGATGTCAAGCGACTCTTACGGGGAAGTCGATCGGCGAGTGCTAGCCCTACTCGTTCCCATTCAGGCACCCTCCCTATTCCAAAGAAAGCTGTTGTTGAAACCAAAATGGTGACAGAAAGCTCCCAGTCAGGTATTTTGTGCTGAATCTGATGAAGTAAAAGTCCATTGAGAAGCTTGAATTGATGGGGAAGCCACAGGTTTCTATTAAAACAATATGGAAGATGCTATGAATATATTCTTCAGATCATTGAAGAATAATAGAATAATAATATTGGAAGGGATGTTGGAAACTTTCTAGTTCTCCCCCCCCCCCCCATCCAGCCAAGGTACTCGCTTGGTTATCTAAATTTTGCTTGAAAACCTCCAGTGATGGAGCACCCATGATACTAAAAAGCAGGCTTTCTTGCTGCTTAATAGTTCTCACCATCAGGCAATTTCTTCTTATTTGAAGATTGGATCTCCCTCTGTGAAGCTTCCATTCTTTTGTTCTACCATTTGGAGCTATAGAGATTAAATTCATAGATTTCTTTTTGTGGCTATTCTTTAAGTATTGGAAGACTACTGTTATGCCCCCCCTTTAATCTTTTGTTCTTTAGGCTAAGCATACCCCTACCTATATCTCATTTACAAGCAATTAAAAAGTCTTCAGTGATCAGAGTAAGGATCGAGGCATTCTGCTACTAAAGCAAATGACATAATGGTGTTTACTCACATTTTTTGTACAGAAGCTAATTAGTATAGTAACTTGAATATAGAGAATCCTTTCCTAAAACCTGAGGGAGGTAAGTTATTTCACAAGTACATACAGTCATGCTGCTTAACATCTTACTATTGATTCTCAGCATCAGTACCTGAAATAACTGTTTCTCTTTGCCAAATGGTGACACAAGCCAGTTCTGTTCATAGATGAAGGGAATAGCAAAGTTCAAAAGGATCAATAGTCTTTCTCCTTGTTCATCAAAGCCCAACTTTACTTCCATGAGACTAGAATATTAACAAAATTCAGATAATATCAGGATTTTGCATGTTGTCCTATCTGCTTTACATGAAAGGAATATAAAAAAACCCTCTTATTATTATATACTATTAAAATCCAATTTGGGATAATGTTCTTTTATTTTCCTTCAGTGTCAGGGACTTATGACACAACAATCTTGAATGCTGCCCTCCCATCATACATGTGGTCCTCCACCCTGCCTGCAGGGTCATCTCTTGGCGGCTACCATAACAACATGACCCAAAGTTCATCTTTGATCAACACTGCAGCCCAGTCTACTGGGTCAGGTATGCATTCATTTATAAAAGTCTCTGCAATGCTGGGCTGCCAAATGAGGCCATTAATGGCCTGTCCTGGTATTTAGAAATTTTGTGCGTCTGGATGACAAGAAACAAGAGTCAAGATCAATCTTAACAAGACCAAATGGCTGTGGGTATTTTCCCCCCCTCATCCTGGTAACCTTTCTTTACTAGACTTGGATGGGCTTGTACTTCCCCATTCAAGACTGGTGTGTAATCTGGGGTCTTTTGGGATTCACAACTTCTGCTCAAGGAACAGAGTGCAGCTATGGCCAAAAGGGATTTCAAATTGATTTATTTCCAAAGTTGCTTTTTCAAAAGGCAACTGGACTTTGTTTCTCCTTGAAGATATTTTGCTTCTTATCCAAGAAGCTTTTTCAGTTCTGACTGAAGTTCTGACTTCTCCAGTCAGAACTGAAGAAGCTTCTTGGATGAGAAGCAAAACATCTTCAAGAAAAACAAAGTCCAGTTATCTTTTGAAAAAGCACTTTTTGGACAACCATGACCTGGATGACTGAGAATCTCCATAGATATATTGATTCATTCTGCTATCTGTTATCTGTTCTATTATCTAGTAAGGAGGCCCTCTAGATGGTCACTTACACCCTAATCACCTAACAAATGGACTATTTAAATATATCTACATGGGGCTCCCTTGAAGGCAACTCAAAAAGCAGAACTTGTCCAGAATGTGGTGTCATGAGTTGCAATGTGATACCATTATACCGCATGCTTCATAAGTTGCCAGTTGACTTTTGGGTGAAATTAAAGATGCTGGTTACCACCTGTAAAGCCTTTCATATTATAGGGCCAGTTTTTACTTGATCAGCTATCTCTAATAATTTCTTCCTATCTAGTATGAATCAGCAGAATGGGTGTCTTCCAAGTCCCTTTAATTAACAAACTATCAGAATAGTATAATGAGAGCCTATCTTGAATTTCATGGATGCTGTTTGAAAGCTTTGATTAATTAGCTGCTCATTATTTTGATCAAAATAGAGCAGTCAGGACTTTGGAAAGTAAAGGAGGCTGACTGGAGATGTGTGTAAAAAAGGCTGTGATTTAAAGAAAAGGAACTTTACTCAGGAATCCAGACCTTCTTTAGGGGCTATGTGTGTTCTTAATGGAGACCCAATACATCTAGCACTGGTGGATAAATAGCTATAAGAAAAAAAAAACCGACTGTCACACATCTGAGGTGTAACACAGCCACTTTTTCTTGTAGCTATTCAACCACCAGTACCAGAACTTTGGGTTGTGGTTGGCTCATGTCTACATTTTCAACACTTTTTATTTCTGTTACTTTCTCTTGCAGTGTTTGGAGTTCCAAACAATTTGGCCCCAACTTCACCCATGCTAAATGGTGGTCTTAGCAATTCTTCCACAGGTTTGTTTTCTCCATTTTTCCCTGTTTCAGAAAAAGGAAGCATTCGAGCATCTGTTATTGCTCTGTAATCATATGTTCTGTGTTAATGGCACAAGAGAGGAGGCATATCCAGATAAGTTTTCCCTGCTTACTTTAAATTAATGCCTCGGTAAATGTAGATGTTCATATTTGGTATATATATTTATACATTTAATAACCTATGAAAAAACCATGATAAAAATGTAAACAAATCAAATGTAAACAAAAACAAAGGTCAGCTATTAAATATATATTCTCCATTAATCTTACTCCAATGATTGTACGAATTATCACTGCCAGAAATGTTGGCATAGCACTAAGAAAGCAATTTTTTTCCATCTTTAATCTTGGAATTTCAAAGATAATTGTCGGGATATTTCCTTATGATAAAAGGTGGTTCCAGCATGAGAGGAAAAAGGACAGTAAATGGGTCTGCTAACCAGCTACAATTCCATTATTTGTACATGATTAATTTCATGCCATCCATACAAAATGTTACTCACTTTAACTATATATATATATATATTAAATATGCTTGTATCTGACCCTCAGATATTTTTTTTGCAGTATACGGTGTTCAAAACAACCTGGCTCCAAACACCCTTGGGGTCACCAGTACTACAACCACAGCTTCCACAGGTAACAACACTTGGTAAAAAATATCTGGAATTCAAAGCATTTTTGCTAGCATTCATTTGCCTTAGAAATGATGGAAGAATGTTGGAAAATTATTTCTTATTGCTTATTTCAAAATACTGTAACTTGTGTAGAGCTCTGTAATGTATCTCTGATATATCTACTGTTTTGCTAGCTTGCATATCCACTAATTTCAGTGTTGTCCTAAATTATTCTTTATCTCAGTAAATCACTTGTACCTGGATAAAGAATAATTGGGCATGGGGACATCGATCAGAGATAAATAATACATTCTGAATATTAAAGCAAAGCAGATTAAATCCTTGCAGTTGTGATTGGGGCAATCTTCCATGTGAAACCTTCAAACCTAGTGAATAAATGGCTACATTTGTGGTCTCCAAAGCCTCTATAGACCACAGCATTGAAATTCAGTGATAAACTATCATTTCAATCCCCACACTGAATTTTCAGTGATAAACAAGAGACACGTGGGTACATCATAAATATTAATTCATCTAAGAGCCCCCAGCCCAGTCCTGCAGTAATAAAAGTATATACATCCCAGCCCATGTCCAAAAGCTGGGGAAATACATAGTTAGATATTTTCCTTGGACTTCTGGAAATCTAGAATTTTGTCTTTATTCCCCATTCCTTTTCTTTTTCAGCAGCATATGGAACAAAGAAAAATGCAGTGCAAAGCTCTGGTGTGACTAGTACAGGTGTATCCACATCATCTGCAACTGGTGAGTCTCCCCCACTTTCACATGAAACAGCAAAGCAGACTCTGCAGAACTGAGCAATGCCCCTTTCTGTGCTACCTGTTGAGTACACGATGGGGAGAAGGACTTGCGCTTCTGCCTTACTGTCCTGCCTGCTATCCAGCAAATCAGCGCCCTGCCAGTCTCCTTTTCCTGGATGTCCCAAAGGTACTTTGCCAAAAGACAACTGGCCTTTCTTGGTTTATTTTGCTGTTTCACTTCTCATCCAAGAATTTTCTTCAGTTCTGAACTGAAAAAGAACTGAAGAAGCTTCTTGGATGAGTAGAGAAATGTTTTCAAAGAAAAAAAAACCCAAGAAAGTCCAACTGACTTCTGAAAAAACATCTTCGGGACAACCATGACCTGGTGATTGAGAATCTCCATAGACTTTCCCAGATCGACTTTCAAATTTTTCTCTGCGATGCTGGTACTTGTGGGTTTTGATAAAATGTACATCTTGATCTATTTCAAAAACAAACAAAAAATTCTCTACATTTAAATCTTCAGACTTTCTGATGTTAGAAAAGTTGCTGTTTCAGACAAGGCTTAATCAAATATGGAATAGGGCTGCAGTGGCCAACAAGGCATGGTGGGAAAGGGAGGATTTTGGTCAAATTTAGGGATGGCCTATGCTTGATCTGAAGAAAAGGAGCATAGAAGAAAGTGTAAGGAACGTATTTGGTTTCTGCTTCACTGTATTGTTGTAGGTACAAACCAGTACATGATACTAACAAAATTTCCAGCCTTCATAGTAAAGCAAGAACATCATAATAGCTTTTTTTCCCTTAGGAAGGTTCTGATTCCTCTTAAACAATTATCTGGGGGAGAAGACTGACTCTAAATTTATCACTGATATGGTTTGGCTAGTGTAGAATCTAGAAAAGCCCAAATGGGATACCTGCTGGAAAACATATCTTCTGATACTGCACATTTCTTAAGCTATCTGTGCTTTATATAGGTCTACATTAAATGTTAAACCTTAAAATAATCTACAATATTTCAATTTGATTTATAATTTAAATAAGTACAGCCACAGAAATTTACCAACCATGTGTTTTTTTCTTGATGTTATTTGAGAACTTAATGCTATCATTACAACAACTCACAGTGCTGGGTTATCCCTACTTCTGTTTGAGATCACCTATTTAGTGGAGAAATTCACATATCTAACATAGGGAATTTACTCCACAAGACATGGGGACATCCACGTAATAGGATGGATTTAAAGTGGGACTGGAGGTTTAGTTGATCAAAGCCTGAAGATTCAACATCTCTCAGAGTTTGGGTAGCTACTCTGCAAATACTTGGAGGGGCTGGGAGGGGGGAAACAGTAGAATAAAAGGTACGGTATGTCTTTACCTCTTTCCAGTCACTGTTGGGCCACTGTGAGAAACAAAATGCAAGATTAGGATAGGCTTTGGTCTGACCTATCAAGGCTTATGTTATCAACAAAATAAACTTACCAGGAGACACTTTAAATGAGATGTCCACTAGAGGAAGCTGCTGCCTTTAGAAAAAGGAAACAAAAGCAAAGCATTGAAAAGTTTACTTTATTTTGCAGCAGAGTTTCTTTGATTGATACCATACTGCCTAATGGCAAGTCTATAAACTCTATGTTGGACAGTTTTCAGAGAAGTTTTCTATGCTCTCTTACTGCATAAATCAAGCAGAAAGCTAGTTTCTCTTCTGATAGATTTCTCAGATCTGCATTACAAAGGGAAATGACTTCACCTATCAATATTAAAGGATCTCTTAAGCAAAGAACCAAGATTTGTAATACTTTTACTACAGAAGATGTATCTAACTTGTGACATTCACTGCCTTATCACTGTTTTGATAAAAGATTTTCTTAAAAAATGCCATTCCATATCTGCTTAGATATTTTGAATTATGTTGCCTAAAATTTGCAATATGCACACATACATAAATACATATATGTTTCTTTTTCATCTTTTAAATCTGGGTTTCCATCTCCTTTTCCTGCTTTTTTTCCAGCTATGTTCCTGTGCCTTTAATATAGAAATAGGCAGTCATGTGATGTCCATGCTCTTGATTGGCACCAAGGCTACAGTGTTTGGGAACAAGATTATGAATAAGAATAGATCCTCATCTTTTTCTGCGCTTTGTGGGAAATATTTTATGGGATTTTAAGTTTGTTAAGTTTACTTCTGTTATATGTTACAGTTTTTGTGTTTCCTACTTGCCATGCAAGGATCACAAAAAAGTGAGCTAAGCTCCAGAGTAACATCTGTATCCAAGTTGATATTTTAAATTAAATTATTCTGGAGAAAATCTATGTGATCACTAAGAATCCACACCAACTTGATGACACATTATCAATCAGTCTTTTCAAGCGGTTTCATCAAAGTAGGATAACTGCAATATCCAATATGTATATGATTGTTTTCTTCTGTCTTTTCTGACACTCAGTTGCCACCTCTGCAAACTCTCAGAGTGACGACATCCTACGCAAAGACTGCAAATATCTGCTCATAGAAAAAGATAATGTAACTCCCAAGAAAGAGATGGAACTGTTGATCATGTCCAAGGACAGCGGAAAAGTTTTTAGCGCATCAGGCACAGGCCTCAGTGGAGGTCAGTTTTCTTCCCATTCTTGGGGCCACATATTGATTTGATATCAGTTCAGAAAGTACACACTACTTATATGGGTTCTGTTTTCCCCCAACCTTGTTTTATATCATCTGGTAATGTCAGGGAAAATGGCACAATTCCTTCCTATGTATAGTAAATATTTTCTATTTTTGTGTGATACACTGAATCACAAACAATAGCCACCATTCTTTTTCCAGTCAGTGTTTCTGAGCTATCTCTACATGTTGGAGAACATAATCTGGTAAAGCTAAAAAGAAATGCATGTCACTTCAATTAAAAATAAACGTTCATAACAACAAGAAGACAGAGGAGAAAAGTAGTAAGTTGCAAAGTATAATTATAAAAACATAAAAGCAAATACTAGTTTTGGTATAACTATAAAGGGAAAGGGAAAGTTTCCCCCTATCCAGTTATGTCTGACTCTAAGGGGTGATGCTCATCTCCATTCCTTAGCTGAAGAGCCAGCATTGTCCAAAGACACCTCTTTGTCATGTGGCCAGCATGACTATATGCCAAGGCACACAAGAACACTGTTGCCTTACCACCAAACTGGTACCTATTTATCTACTTGCATTTGCATGCTTTCGAATTGCTAGGTGGACAGAAGCTAGGGCAAGTAACGGAAGCTCACCTCATCACATGGCACTGGGGACTTGAAACTGGGCAATCGGCTTTCCAGCTGACAAGTTCAGCATCTAGAATAGAATAGAATAGAATAGAATAGAATAGAATAGAATAGAATAGAATAGAATAGAATAGAATAGAATAGAATAGAATAGAACTGGAAGGGAACCTATACCATCTCAGACAAGTGACTGTCTAGCCTCTTCTTAAAAATCTCCACTGATGGAGCGCCCACGATTTCTGGAGGCAAGCTGTTCCACTGGTTAATTGTCCTCACTGTCAGGAAGTTTCTCCTTAATTCCAGTTTCCAACTATTGTTTCTTGTCCTGCCTTCTGGTGCTTTGGTGAATAACGCGACCCGCTCTTCTTTGTGGCAGCCCCTCAAATACTGGAATACTGCTATCATGTCCCTGTATGGGGGTTCAGTAATCAGGGAGGACGTTGCCCCTGTATCTACCAGGCACTCATATGTTTTTCTTCCTATTGTAAGGGAGAAGAGGAGCTCTCCCTCCTGGCCATTCCTTAAGGGAACTGTGAGGCCAGAGAAAGTTGCCCTGTATTCTAGTGGCTCCTGGCTGAGTCAGGAGGAGTCATAATGGTCCTCAAACTGCACATGTCGAGGTGGTCTGGGGTGCCCAGTCTCACTTAAGGCAGCTGGTCCCCTTGGGATTGGAGCTCTGGGAGGGGGATATTGTTTCCTGGGTTCAGAGAAACTGGCCCTGCAATCTTTCCTCATGTGTCCCCTCCTCCCACATTTGAAGCAGTGAGAGCACCTATTTCCTTGCTCCACTGTTTGCTCACATCAGGTCCCCTTTTGATATATCTATATGGTGAGGTAAATTACTGTAGCTTAATAGATTTAAGGAGAACAAAATAAATATGAGTAGGTTTCATGTTGTTCAAGTGAGATGATTTTGAGTGGCAGTTGCTTTTTTCTGACCAATGAGCAAAAATATTCGTAGATAAGAAGAAACATCAAACTTACTTAGATGGGGGAATGAGCGAGGAAATGGCAATCTTCCAGACAGACAATCTTGTATGTTTGTGAAAGGATACTGGCTGGGATATGACTGGAAGAAGGAAGGAAGTGGAGCACAATCCCAAGAACCCACAGAAAATTAATCTACTGAGCCTGAACTTCACTGTGACTAGTTTCTCATGGGCCGAAAGCTCCAATGAATTAAAAAAAATCTGGTGTTATTGTATACTGAACTGTTTGTAGGAATAAACCTTCAGGCTGATATCTCGTATTACTGTACCACTCTAACCACTCTGCATATATAATAGATAACACCAGCTGCATTCAGTCCTGCAGTTGCCATCTCATTACTTTTCAGACTGATCACAGTATACCACATTTACTCCCTAAAGACATGAGAATTGATGACCTTGTTTAATCAATACTGGATTAATACGATAGTGATATTAGTGAAGTGAACTCATTAAGGCTCCAATTCACACCATATTCCAAACAAGGATGGATATCTTTTTCAACCTGTGCATTAGATTATAATCTTCTATCCTGCTGGATGGTTACAAGGCTTATGACATCCCATGGGGCTCAATTTTTAAATATCCTTTCTACAAGGAGGTTTAGTGTTTGAATAGGTCCTGGGGGAGGGGGTTTGATCCTTATGTAAAAATATTATTGGTAGCTTAATTTGGGGAGTACATCAAGATTTGGAAAGTGTTTAACAGATACTGTACACTTCCACGAAGCTTCTTGTTTTACTCTTAAAACCCCTCATCTTCCACAAACATGGAGAAAGGTCTAAAAATTCTTGGCTCCAACAATCAATAAGACTTAAAAAAGCTTTCTGGATGTTGTTGTTGTTGTTTTTTAATTTGGAGATAAACTGGTATTAAGCCATTTCATGTTTATCCTAAATATGATTTATTTGGGCCCACTACAGGTTATTATTCAGAAGACACCTTACAAAAAGACAAACAGGCTATCACTTCTTATGCTGGAGATTCCTATCTGAAATCAGAAACAAATGGTATGTCATTGATTCTCTGTCTTGATTTGACCAATTAAAAGAAGAATAAAAATACAGCTCACACAAAAAATGTATGATAACAATGATCAGGCTAATTAAAACAATGGCTTTTCTGGTGGCAAGGCTGTGAAAGCTGGGCAAAGAGAAAGAGTGAGAAACAAATAGATATCATGGAATTATGAATTTGGATATCATGGTTCTGAGACGAATAAAGCAGAACTCCAAGGCTCATTTGTAAAGTTGGAGATATTTGCTAGGGTTAACATGAACTACAGTATAAAAAGAATCAGAACCCAACTATTTCTTTGAAGTGATAATCAGAACACAAAAACTAGTATACTTTGGTCATGTGATGCTAATGGATGATGAACTAGAAAAACAATTATTCTTGACAAAGTTGAAGATAACAGAAGAAGGGAAAGAGAATAATAAAGTAGATGAGCAACTTCAAAGAGATCACTGAAACATCATTGGAAAAGTTATCAACAGGGGGAGGTCAAGTTGGTGAGCATTTGTCCATACAATTCAGAAATGCACATGAATGTCACCATATAAGCACCAAGAATTCCTGGTCAACTATTTGGTATAGTAAAAAGGGCTCATCTGCATCCGCTCACCTATACTTCTGAACACCAGGCAGAAAAATATCATGCATATGAAACTATTAGGATATAGGACAGTGATGGCGAAACTTTTAGAGACCGAGTGCCCAAACTGCAACCCAAAACCCACTTATTTATTGCCGGGTACCAGGTGGGCATGGCCCACTGGATGGGCGTGGCTGTGGTGGTCATGGCAGATTGGGTGGGTGTGGCCAAGGTGGGCGTGATCACCTCAATGTTGCTCGGGGGGAGGGACGCCTGTGGGGGCCAGGCAGGGTTGGGGGAGATCCAGGGGGGCTCTGGCAGGTGTGGGCAGGAGGCTCATCCTGCGGGGTGAGGCGAGGCAAGGCGAGGCGAGGCAGGGTGGGGATGCCATTGTCACAGGGCAAGGTGAGGCAGGGGCCGGGGTGGCTGCTGCCTGACACCATAGGCCCCTGCACACAGAGGCCAGCGAGCGCATGGGTGCTGGGATGCATCTAGCCATGTGGGACCTCGGCGAGTTAGAGGGCAGCTGGTTGAAGAGGGATGGTTGCCATCTCCAGGGCATGGCAAGCGTGCCCACAGAGAGGACTCTGAGTGCTGCCTCTGGCATGCGTGCTATAGGTTCGCCACCACTGATATAGGAAATTAGTTTCCTATCTGTGCAGTCTTTCTATTCCATTGGGGGGGGATTTGAAAAACAAATCTTAATTTATAATTACAGTGTGGTTTGCAGTAATTCGTCAAAGTCATGTCCCTGTTCTCTGACCACTGAAGCCACACTGTAGTATTGTCTCACATTCATATTACTACTGTGGATTAAACTCTGTTTATAACAAACAACAGCTCTGTGCAGGAAGAGTTACCCTTATGTTCTTTTTGTTCTTACAGGTGGACTTAAATCTGTTTCCACAAAAGACAAAACCATTGTCACAGGTGAACACCCATACAGTATTCATTAGTTCTTGGTTTATATAGTGCAGAAACCATTGACCGTTAATAATAGATTCAAATTGTTTTTTGGAAAAATATTTATTTAAAATTGGAGGCCATTCAATGTGGTGGGTATTTTTTCTACAGACAAATGCTAACACACTTTTTTATGTGAACCTGAATACCACACATGCAGGATTTAGAAAATCCAAAGCACATTTACCTTATTCTGTGCCAATTAAATTAAATAATAAAATAAATAACTTTTAGGAGTATTCTACTCTTTGGGGAATTGTAACTGTACAACTGTAGTCTTCCAGGGAGATTTTCTGATTGGACCTGGTTAGGTTGAACAACTATGACACAACAGGCTATTTTTCATTCGATGTCTATATCTGAAGCTCAAAATATCCAGATGTCTCATAGTTGAACTGTTGTTAAACAAAAAAGAAAAAAATCACTTTTGAGAGTGTAATATGTACCATAGCTGCATCAATAATGGAATGTTACTTCATGCTACAAAAACAATTACGAAGATTTCTTTAAAGAAACCAATAATATAAACCTTTGTATGGTGTATCTCTCTGTATATTCATATGTATTTGCATATGTGTGTGTGTCTAGGTGTGTCTGGGTATCTGTATGTGTCTCTGTGTCTCTCTGTGTGTGTGTATTTGCTGTTTGTACTAATTAAAGCCCAATATTTCTCAAAAACTGAAGACTGGTTCTCAGTGTGGGTTCTTTAACTATGAAATGAATATTTATTTAATGCTAATTGTTGCAATAATGGGTTTAGAATTCTGAATAAGACTCAAAGATACCTTGATTTTTATCATCCCCCGCACCAACTGTCGGCTTTTTATTTATTATTATTTATTGAATTTATATACCGCCCTATCTCCCTTACGGGACTCAGGGCGGTGAACAGGCGATAATAAAAACCACAATAAATATACACAATATTTATATTTTGCAATCTCACTTTCCAGTGACTAACTTGTTTTTATTATCCTCTATAGAAGGCAAAGGTGATGGATGTGGAGGGGCTGGGGGCTGTCCAGCCTGGTGCCCCTGTAGCTCATGTTGCAACTGGTGGATGTGGCTCCTTGGATTGCTACTGGCCTGGCTGCTCCTTCTTGGTCTCCTTTTTGGACTTATTGCTTTGGGTAAGATACTATCATTGAATGCTAAAAGTTCAAGATCTTTTCAAATGGTCGATCCCAGAAAATAAGGGTATATCATATTAAGTCATAGTTTATTTTAACCATATTTTATTGAGCATACTATAATGGCCTGGATTACACATACTATTAAAATAAGATCCATGATTGTACTCTATACAACAGTGGCTGTGTTTATACAGCATGCTAAACCAAAACCAGAGCAAAGCAAATTCAGCATAACTTTGTGTAATGTGTGAACTAGATTTCTATGATTCTGAACAAAAACAATTGTTTCCATTTTTGAAAGAGGCTCACTAAAAGAACTGTCTTGAAATTTCTTCAGTTCATAGTTGTTTTCTGTGCAGTAATTATTTCTTGAAAAGCATGCATGAAACTACAAAGTCTAAGGACAACTGAATTCTTTATTTTACTTCAAACTTTCAGCGGAGGAAGTACGGAAGCTGAAATCCCGAGTGGAGAGCCTTGAATCACCAATTGAGTATCGGCAAGGAATTGGCACTTACTCAGAAAAGTTAGTCAGCCAGGGAGGCACACTCAGCAATATGAATGAACATGAACTGCGGAATTATCTGAGAACATTGATAAGTATGGAGATGAAGCAAGGTGAGAAACATATAAAAATCAAATTGGTTAGGAGATGAAATGATGTATTTGCCAGAAAAGATACTGAATTGTTTAGCTATTAGTTATCTTTTCTAAGAATTATATGATGAGAATGACTGGATCAATTTGGATTACATAAGTTTTGAGACTTATGTAATCATTTAGATAACATATCTTTGCTGTACAAATCCGGAAGACCATTTTGTTATTGCCATTGTTTTTGTTCGGTCCTTCTAACTCCAACTCACATAACCTCCTTAGCCTGCTCCAAGAATGATCCCCTGTTTGCAAAGGACATGTCCACATGCCACTACCTATCCATAGTCCAGGCAATCTGAGGATGGTTTTAGATGCTCCACTGTAAAGGTTTTCCATCTTGTCCCACCTCCAAATGCTGCACATGCAGGCAATGTTGATACTAATGGAGCAGGTAGCCCTGTGGCTCCAGTTGGTTCTGCTGGTTTCATGTAGGACGATTTCCATCCATCCAGTTCTTGATAGATTATTCTGGCCTTCAAACCTCTTTCAGTATGAAGAGGAACAGAATTCAGTTCCACGGCCACTTTTTAAAATTAAATCAGTTTATGTGATTGTACATCTCACAGATACATATCTGGGTGATTAAGACATTAAAAACCAATTCAAAAAACAGTATCAACAAAACATAAAAATCCTACAATGGTTAAGAACAAACAATAAATACTAAATAACACACAAAGACATCTTATTTCATGGATCATTTAACCTCCTGACCCCCATGTACTGGAGCATATCTAGGTCTTCGGTGCTTTGTAAAAGGTCAGCAGGGTCTTTTTTAATGGGTTCATCAACCAGACAACTAGTCAGCTGCCAAGCACTTAGTTTTGATTAGTCTGTCCAATATAACACTGATAATTGAATACATAGTTGAAAGGACTTGCATCTTGTATTTCTGTAGCCTTCTTCCTTTCAGGGTGCCATATTAGCTTATGCCATTTTAAGAATGTTTTCTTAAACATTTTGGAGAAAGTCATGCTGGATAGTGCTATACTAAGTGAGTAATACATAATGTTAGAGGGCTAGCAATGCCTTCTAAGCAGATTTTACATAACATGCTTTCTAAGCCACACATATTCCATTCAGTTATACTGCCCTTATCAGTAATAAACCAGAAATAGTTTTGCATGCTTTGTACAAGCATTTGACTGTCATTCCATATTCCTATGTAGGTCAGTTCCGAGGAGAACCAGGACCAAAAGGTAGCAATTTGGAAGATTTGTTTTAATATTTGTTTTAATATTTGAATAAGAATCTCTTTTACTGTTGATTTGTATATGATAGAAAGGGGGCTTTAAGTACTGTCTTTAGCATTAAAAAATTACTAGGATTCTATGGGAAGATACATAATAGTCAGACACATTTGAATTTCTACTTTGGGCATGCATTTTATTTAAAATTAAACGAATCCTTAGAATTTGTATTTTTTCCCATGGAACAGTGTCTCAGAAAATAAACCACCTGAGGCTAACTGATATAGAGCCAATAATATTTCTGCCTTTCATGAGCTTCTCAAATGTATTCTAAGTGTGGTAGGAATTAGAGAAAGGTAAGCAAAATAAGGAAAGTCTGATATAATCCGTCTATAACATATTTGCTTTTCTCCCATATTCTTTCCTAGGGGATATTGGGACCCAAGGACCAAAAGGTGAGTTCAACATTTTCCAGTAGCTTTGCCCTGTAAAAGCAATGTAGACATAGCTTTTCATTATACACACACACACATACACACACACACACACACACACACACACTAGACCATCAATGGCTATCAGGAATTGCTAGATTAGGAAAATATAGTTAGCCACATATTCTTAAAAATCAGCAATCTATGGCTATCAGGAATTGCTACATTAGGAAAATATAGTTAGTCACATATTCCTAAAAATCAGCAATCTAAAACTTGACTTATCCAACAATTGATACTGAATAATAGTTGGTAAAAAAGAAAAGTTGAGCATAGTGCCTGATAGATCAAACAGTGTTGACTTTATATGAAGAGTTTAACACTGTACTTTGAAAAATCTAGGTGAAAAAGACATTTACATTTTTTTAAGACAGCTCAAAATTAGATGGCTAAGCAGGAACATTCCGGGAAAAACATTATTCATTTTATCTTCATTTGATCTGTCAAAAGCCTTGAAACTATGTATCTGTTGAATAGTGCAGGCACAGAGTAATCCAAGTTTATCATTTCTATTGTGTGTGAAAGCATTCAAATCACCTTTGCCTTCTGCACTAAGCAAATGTTACTGACATAATGTGTAACTTGAAAGATCAGAAAATTGCTGTTGGCAAATTATGTTACTAATTCATCACTTTTTGTTTGTTTATTTCTATAGGAGACCAAGGACTTCATGGTCCACCAGGTAGGTAGAACATAGAAACAATAGCCCAATTTCTTGTAGCCATCTTCTTGAGATGCACCAATAAGTATTGTCAGTGTCAGTGGTGTTGCTACGTTGGCATTACTCAAGAATTCAATACTTCATTCTTTATTTAAAGATAAAAATAGCTAACTGATCAGTTGTCCCTGAGTTCTCTCTCAATAAAAAAGCAGTATTTGAATTACTAAAAAGTCACATTCTGGTCTTACAGGACACTTTTTATTTCCATAATTATACGTCGTGAAATCAAGCAAACTAAGAAGCTTTCATAGGTTCTGGAATCCAAATGCAACAGCAAATTAACAGATTGGAACAGTGCCTTTTCCGGCACTGAAATTACTACAATCTATTTTAAAATGTTCTTTTAAAGTGTTCTTTTAAAATTTCTATAGATAATATGGATTTCAAAGGCCAGAAATGAAATATAGAAAACTGTGATTGTCTTAAAATAGCAGTGCCAATGTTAGGAATAGTTTGTGCGTTGTAAGAAATTAATACAACATCAACTACAAGGATTTATACTGTAAATTATTTTTAAGCTAGTCAGAGTCATTCAAAGAATTATTCCTCTTGTGATTCATTTGATTCTTAGGGCAAAAATAAAAAAAAATTAAGTTAAAGTTTAAGTTAAGTTAAGAAACTTTAACTTAAAATTGACTTAAATTATATATAAGTAATTTAAGTTTTTTTCTTAGGATTCTTTGTAGCTGAGCATAAATAAAGATACAGACCATTTTGTGAACATGCATTTCCTCTCTAATAGGTATTCCAGGCTTAATAGGTCACCCTGGGCCAGAAGGACCAAGGGGACTGAAAGGCAGCATGGGTAAGCAAAATACTTATTTATTCTGGATCTTATATGGGGCAGCCTCACCATTTTGTCATTATAATATATATAATTCTCTGTAACAATAGTTATAGTCCAAGAGAAGAAGTATTGGGTAAAACATAACTGTGATGGACCTACAATTGATTCTTTATAGGTGAAACTGGCCTGGAAGGCCCCATAGGACCAAGAGGGCGAGATGGGCCTCCAGGCCTTCGTGGGGAGCCTGGTCCCTCTGGATTTGGAGAGAAAGGTGACAAAGGTAAGATTTTTTTTCCTGCTTCCACAAATAACTAGAAAGTATTATTTGGAAGATTTTTCAAGATTCAGAACATATTATATCTGTGACTTTCATAAATTCTATCTTCAGAAATACTTTCATTCTAGCTGTCCATGATGCCTGTTGAGATATCTGTCTGCACTGCAGAAGACTTTGATAAATGTTTAATCCTTCTTCTTGGAGAGGCTCAATTATAGTTCTAAAGCTCCTATTACAGGGAGCCCCTTCAATGCTGTTTTGCTATTCATTAGAGAAGCCCTTTCTTTGTATGGGCAGCTGTGCTTCCACTTATTTTTTTCTATGCTTTCCCTTTATCTTAAGGTAAACATATAATAATAGCACGTAGACTTATATACCACTTCACAGTGCTTTACAGCCCTCTCTAAGCAGTTTACAGAGTCAGCATATTGCCCCCAACAATCTGGGTCCTCATTTTACTGACCTTGAAAGCTGAGCCAACCTTGAGCCAGTGAGACTCGAACTGCTGAACTGCTGGCAGTTGGCAGACAGCAGAATTAGCCTGCAAAATTGCATTCTAACCACTGTGCAACCACAGCTCTCTGTAGCAAACAAGTGGCAAGCACTGCAGGTGCCCACCATTTAAGTTTACCATGAATGCTCTTCTATTTCTGGTGGACAGATTCAGACAGAGAGAGACCATAAGAGGAGATTTAAATGACTAACAACACTTGATCCAAAAGATATATTACCCCCTCTGCATTACAAACAGTACAAAGTTGCCTCATTTGGAAATGAGAGATAAATGAGAGGGCAGTAGGATTTCTAGTTATCTTGGATATTGGTAAAAGTCTGAGGTTTTTGAACCTCGGGCTGCAGACTTTCTTAGACACCTATTGAATATTTATGTGTGTAGAGAAAGACAATTCATTGCAGCCAAATTACTTTTGAGCAATAGCTTGCCTACTCTTACTTATATTTACAGGAATTCCAGATTGGTTTTCAAGGAGTATAATCCCAATTCACTTCTTTGGAACAGTATGACAATGATCCATTCTTAGTTTTAGCACTCAACAAAACAAAATAAAAAGTTAGAGTCATTGCTCTTACCACAAAGGCTACAAAAACAGTATTATCTGTCAAAGTGATATAAAAATCACAAGGGCTGAATCTCTCGCCCAAAAGAGATGAAACTGAGGTTTTTTTGCCCCATATTATATAGCCTATTGTTCTTTATATATTCATTAATCAGAAATGCAAGCAGGGCTGGAAATAAAAACGGTATTCTAGTCACATACTAAGTAAATTGGATGCCAACTCTTCGTCATTTCTAATGAGTAAGGAGATACAATAAAAGAAAGCCATCTGGTACTTTGTTTTGTAGCAAGCAAACAATGGCTTATCTGTCCACAGCATTTTTGTTACTTTCAAATGCGTCCCTACACTTGGCATTGATAATTAAGGAAATGTAAGACAGAATTGAAAAATAACACTCAGAAGCTATTTCTGCGTTTTGGGTTCCTGTAACTGACCACTTTTAAGTGGTGTCCCCTGAGTGCTTGTTATAACTGTGTCCTATAAACGTTCCTGAAAGGAAACAATATTCCTTTTAGGGAATGGAGAAGAGAAGCATCTTCCCAGTATTGCAACATATATGAACAATATATTATTGTCAAAGAAACCAAACTTCACCAAGTGACCTAATGCATTTATTATGCAGGTTCTGCCGGGGAACCAGGTGTCCAAGGTCCACCAGGTGTCCCAGGTTCTAAAGGTAAGTGTAAATCTGATGCAAAAATCTAGTAAAAATAAAAAGGTAAGAATTAGAAAATGTTTCCTTCAAAGACCATATTCCTTCCACTTCAACATGTTGAGTGTTATCAATAATTAGAATTCGTGCCAGAATCAAAAGTGGATCAGGCTGACCCTTCCTTCTCTTTCTAGCTTACTTATTCCTTATGTGTCCATCTTTTTCTCTTATGATACGTTTCCCCCCTTTCTTTCTTTGATCAAAAGGCTATCAAAGAAGAAATAACTCTGCCTTCCTAGAAATATGAGCCTTTCTAATTATAAAACCTAACCTGAAATTAGGGCCACAGTTTATTGGACTTTGGGGATCCAGGTATTCAGAGCCTCTTTCTCTTAAGATATCCTAGAGGAACATAATTGGATTTGCTCAGCACATTTGAGCCTTTTTAGGACTGAGAGTCCTGGTGGAGAATATTAATTTGAATACTACCACTACCAGGCACAACACTTTATTCTCAGTACATCTAATGTCAACTTAGGTTTCTTCTCCTTTGTTTTTTTCCCCATTAAAAACAATAGCCCAAAGTATTCCTGGTAAAATATAAGTTTTCAGTCTGAACCTATTGTTGCCTTCTAGTGCCATGCTTTGGGGGCAGCTAAGAAATATAGCCCATCAGGAAAGCACCAAGTATTGCATATCATAACATGCAGCAAATCAAGGTATTACAACTAGGCATCATCCAGTTGGCTACAAGTAGTTAAATATGTACAAACATAATGAAATAAAATTGAAAGCTCCATGTTACTTATTTCCTGGTCTTCAGTTCTCAGTTATCTCTTGCCCAACCTTCTTAATTATTCTTGCTCTTTCTTTAGGTCCTCCAGGAATACAAGGATTTAGAGGTGAAGCAGGTATCCCGGGAGCTAAAGGTAAAACTCAAAAACCAGACTTGTCTGTTTGAGGAGTGGGATCCAAAAACATATACTACCACCATGTGTTGGGCTTGTATAACATAGTATTGAACATAGGCATAGAGAGGAAGTCATAAAGATGTCATTAGGATCATGTCATCAGGAGAATGATGTAAATTGTGTCAGTTTGGACACAAATGATATACTGTATAGTGTTAAATTGCATCATTTGCACAACGATACAAGAACATACATGCCTTTCTATTGTTGAACCCTCACCCAAAGGAGGCATTGGGCATTGATGTGATAACTCAATATTAAAAATAAACAATAAATTTAAGATTTCAATAGATGAAAATATTTTTTCTTAAAGAATTTGATTTGTGCTATATACACGCATGGAGCAATTTTTAAAAAGGTAATGCCTAATACTGTGTTCCAAATTTGGTGTTCTTTATTTGCTGCTGTATATATATATATATATATGTGTGTATATCTGTGTGCATTATTCTGCTCCTTAGTTCCAAAGTGGATTAAAGCAGTAAAAAAAAGGCTTTTCATATCTAAAGATTTAGAGTATAAAAATGCCCATTACAAAAGGCAGAGCCATAAGGAAGCAAGCAAACAAACAAACACAAATGTCAGAAGATTGCAAGAAGTCACATGACACCAGGACTCTGCAACCATCATAAATGCATGCCAATTGCCAAGTGTTTGAATTTTGACCATGTGATCCTGGGGATACTGCAACAGTCGTAAGTGGGGAAATTGGTCGTAGGTTTTCAGTGCTGTTGTAATTTTAAACGGTTACTAAACAAATGGTTGTAAATTGAGGACTACCTATATATATATAATCTATAAATTAGAAGGAATTAATGTGCCCAATTCACCCAACAGTAGGCTTTTTTTACTCTTCTTTTCAGCCCACTATAGCTGAGGAATGTTACCACCAGCATTGTTCTGCTTTAAATCCTTTTTTTCTCTATTGTTTAGGTGAAAAGGGAGCCATAGGAATACCTGGATCCAAAGGTACCTATGCTTTTACATCTAATTCTAACAAAATGAAATTCAGGGGTGAGAAAAGTAAAGTTCTACAACTATGAAAGAAAAATCAAATGCACAGGTATAGAATAGCTCAACAGTAGTAACTGTAAATAGGATCTTCAAGTAATAGTGGGATAATCATTTATATATGAGCCAGCACTATCCTGCAGCTGTCAAAAAAGTCAATGCCTAAGCTGCATTAATAGAGGAATATAATCAAGATCATGTAAAGTGTTAATACCACTTTATAATGCCGCAGTAAGACTGCACTTGGAATATTGCATCCAGTTTTGGTTGCCATGATATAAAAAAAATGTTGAGATTCTGGAAAGAGTGCAGAAAAGAGTAACAAAGATGATTGGTCTGGAGGCTAAAACATATGAAGAACAGTTGCAGGAATTGGGTATGCCTAGTCCAGGGGTAGGCAACCTTGGCTCTTTTATGACTTGTGGACTTCAACTCCCAGAATTCCTGAGCCAGCCATGCTGAGGGGAAAGGGAGAGGTTTCCAAGCTGAGCCATGCTGCCTCAGGAATTCTGGGAGTTGAAGTCCAAGAGTCATAAAAGAGCCAAGGTAGACTACTCCTGGCCTAGTCTAATGAAAAGAAGGACTAGGGATAACATGATAGCAGTATTCCGAAGGGCAGCCACAAAGAAGAAGGGGTCAACCTATTTTCCAAAGCACCAGAAGCCAAGACAAGAAGCAATAGATGGAAACTAATCAAGGAGAGAAGAAACCTAGAACTAGGGAGAACATTCCTGACAGTGAGAACAATTAACCAGTGGAACAGCTTGCCTTCAGAAGTTGTGGTGCTCCATCACTGAAGGTTTTTAAGAAAGGATTGGTCTACCATTTGTTTGAAATGGCATACTGTTTCCTGCTTGAGCAAGAGGTTGGACTAGAAGATCTCAAACTCTCTTCCAACTCTGTTATTCTGTTATAATTATCTTTTATTTATTTCCCTCCACCGACCGAAACTTACCAAATGTGTCTTTTCATTCTTGACCATAATGGGGATTATAACACAGATTAATTTAGTTTCATTTTATTTCCATGTGTGTTTTAGGTGATCCAGGAGAGAGAGGCCCCCGTGGTCTTACAGGTATATATAACATTATCAAAGATTTTGAAACTATCACATGAGTATTTACATTTATCCAGAGATAAGCATTCAGATTTAACAAAGGATTTGTATGAAGATTGTTGGTCTCCAGGTGCTCCGTTTACTTGATGAAATGCAATAGACTATCTGCTGCTTCCAGTTAGAGGACTGAAAATTGCTATACATGCATTTTTAGGAGCAAAAGGAAATGCTTATCAATGTGTATATAAATAGGAGTGTGAAAAGTGTGGGCACAAATGTGTGTGGAGAAAGATGTATATCTGCATATGTTTACCTATCAGTGTTCATTATGTACCAAGTATATCACTCAAAGGCCCAAGTCAAAGCTGAATGTATTTCTGGAGGACTAAAGCTTGTCCCATTTTAAGTTACATATATATGTGTTCGATTTCCAGGTGAACCAGGATCCAGAGGACTGCCTGGGCCAACAGGTGAATCAGGACCTAAAGGATCAGCAGGTGACAGGCAATATTCCATTACGACACTTCTAGAAAATCTATTTCAAATTAATTACTTAGCCTTATAAGACTTTTGAAATGTACATCCCAGAATTAAAGATACTTTGATAAGGAAAATTTAAGACTCATTAAAAGAAAGCAGGAATGAATTTAAAAATAGAGTTCTGTATAAATATTCTTTGCAGTTTAGGTGTGTCTGTGGTATATAATCTGTGTGTACAGTACATGCAAATATGCAAAAAGTTAGATCAATTTGAGTCCTAGTGATTTGATCCACATGTAGCATAGTGATGAGTGGAAATAAATAAATATATATTCTTTGTTGCCTTTTTTCTGCTTCCAAGATTACATTAGTTACAGTAGTGAGATGCGAGGCTGTATTATAGTTTTTGTAAAAGTTCAGCCAAGAGAGTGTGTGAAAGTTCAGACTAAACAATTTTATTACATTAAAAAGAAAAACAGTATGGTATGAATTAATCAAACATATTGAACCCGGTGAGTATTTTAGCAGCATCTGAAAGGCCTTTATATTTCTATAGGTCCACCTGGCCCAGATGGACATCAAGGTCCCAGAGGTAAATAACTATTATATTTCCACTTACAAGAACATGATAAGCATAGCTTTTTAACTGTGAGGCTCAATTTTAGTAGCTTTTATTGCCATCTTTTACATATTCACTGCATGTCGCAGCATGAAATGTTTCAAATGAAACCTATCATTTAATTATCCTGGGGGAAAAAGAGATATACAAACTTTCATTATCTCCCTTTTTATCATTTTGTTCCTATCCCCACTTCCAAACCCCACCTGCAACCTATGGTAATAGTATATCTCAAGTTAGGTGGTAAACACAGAATCTCTTAGAAGAATGAGAGCTACAGGACAATCACCATTTAGTGAACTTCATGCTGGGGAAGTTTTTGCATACTATGTTGTGTCAGATATAAGGGACTTCTGCCAAAGCACCATAATTATTATGACACACACAGAAACACACAGAGACACACACAGACACACAGATACACACACAGACACACACAGATACACAGACACAGACACACAGATACACATACACAGACACACACACACACATATCTTTAGTTGTAATCAGTTCCATTTTTATGAATGGTCATATTTTTCAAGAATACGAATCTTATATCTTGATTAACTTGTAGGGGAACAAGGACTTATGGGTATTTCAGGTGCACGAGGACCACCAGGACCTGCTGGAGATGCTGGGCAGCCAGGTAATACAAAATCAAAATATTAGCAGCAAAGGAAATTTATTTCTCTATCTAGAGGTTATGTCTCCCTGCCTGTGGAGTGTTCTGGAGTAAGAGTCAGACTGGGGTTTGGGTAAACACTGTGAAAATGTTAAAATGGTATATATTTATTTATTCAACTTGTATTAATACAAACAATTGACTCTGGGCAGTATAAATATTGAAAATGGAAAAATGTTAAAATATGGTTGTGATTTGCTTATGGAATAGCTGTGTGAGTTGTTAATGTGTATGAAGCCTGGGTCAATGCTTGATGACTGGAGGAATGCCATTGTGGTTCCTTTCTCTAAAGGGAATCATAACAAGAATAACAAGAACAAAACACACCCAATTGTTTCTTCTGACTGGGAAGGTGTTTAGAGGACTCTGTTTGAAGAGGTACAGGAGATGACAATGAGAAAATTTTGAGTATGTAATATGTGATCTGTTACAAATAGTAAATATTGGTCCAAAGGAACAAAAAAAATGCTGCTGTCTAATTGAGAATTGGATGTCATGAGAAACAAAAAATGCACTAGCAATGGATTACTTAAAAAGAATATATGATAAAGCAAAAAAGAGATAAGATAAAAATAAATAGGTGATGAATTAATATAGATTGAATATAAAAGGGGGGATCAGTACCAAAGAGGTACGTAGACATGTTTCAGTCATATACAGAGGATCAAAGTGCAAAACAAATTAATGGAAGGGGTCACCAGTTTTGTCACTGCGAAGTTTTGGTCACCGCAATGTAAAAAAGATGCTGAGACTCTAGAAAGAGTACAGAGAAGAGCAACAAAGATGATCAGGGGACTGGAGGCTAAAACATATAAGGAACGGTTGCTGGAATTGGGTATGTCTAGTTTAACAAAGAGAAGGACAAGTGGGGACATGATAGCAGTGTTCCAATATCTCAGGGGCTGCCACAAAGAAGAGCGAATCAAGCTATTCTTCAAAGCGCCTAAAA